CCGCGAGTGTCCCAGGAAGGCGGCACCCAGAGCCCCACGGCTCCCCGCGTCCGGAGTCATCCTGGTCCCACCGCACAGGGTGGCCAGAGCATGACAAGGGTCCAGTGGCTGCGCGCGGCGGCCCAGGGCTGGACGAACGAGAGAACTGGTCCCACAGGCGAGGGCTGGACCAACGCAGAGAACCGGACCTAAGGGTGGACCAATGCAGAGGGCTGAGCCAATGGGCGAGGGCTGGATCGATGGGCGAGGGCTGGACTAATAGGGCTGGATCAATGGGCGAGGGCTGGACCCACGGGAGAGGGCTGGACCCATGGACGAGGGATGGACCAATAGGAGAGGGCTAGGCCAACGGAGAGGTCTGGACCAAGGGGCGAGGGAAGGACGAGTGGACAAGGGATGGACCAATGAGCCAGGGCCGGACCAATGGCGAGGATGCTGCGTTGTCCAAGGTGCAGGCTGAACGGAAGCCAGCGGTTTCAACGCACGTGAAGAGACCTTCCCTCCGCTCGCTCAGTATACAGCCGGGGGCAAACAAGGTCTTTAAACAAATGTTCTAGCTTTCTCCGCAGGAATTCGAAGTCAAATCTGGGAGGAAGCCTGAAGAGCTCAGTTAAACTCACCCCTCGGGTGCCGTGAGAGCCCCGCCCAAGACCCGAATCCAGGCCACAGGTCCCGCCGACGCTCCGCCCCTGTACGAGAAGGCGCCCAATCCCAGGGTGGTCCCGCCCTTTCCACGAAACCGCGGCCACGCCTCCCTGTGCTGATTGGCCGGGGGCCCGCTCTGCCCCGCGCCGGGAAGACCCGGAGAAGCCGCACTCGCCCCAGGAATGGGCTCCACGGCCCTGCTGCGCATGCTCGCGCCGTGACCCCAGCTTGAGGTGACGGCCCTAGCAGAGGCGGGGTCCCCCAACACCGAGGCTGAGGGACTCGCCACGGCTCGGTCGCCGGAGAGGGAGGGCCCCGCTGCCGTCGGTGAGGACGGGCCCCAGCGGGTGGGGAGGGTCCTGCGTCCCCTGGTGTAGACGTGCCCCCGGCCTGACTCTCCCGGGGATCCCAAGGGCTGCTGGTGCTGGGGAGGGGTCCCTGGCGCCGCATCCCGGCACTCAGGCCGCCTTCTTTCTGGTTGCCCGCAATTCGCCTCCTTTCTCCTCGCTTCTCCTTCCCCCAGCCCACCTGCTCCCTGGACTGAACACTGATACCCCCAAATCAGGGCGCCCTGCCTTCGCCCGCCTTTGTCTTGCCATGTCCGCCCGACTCAGTGCTGTGCCCCCGACCCACCTCTAGTCTTGTCCCATCTTGACGGCCCGGAAGGTTCCCGCAGGGATGGCCGCAAGTCGAAGGCGTGAGATATTGGAGTCGGGGAGACACTCTGGAGCCTTAGGAGGTAGTGGTATTGAGAGTGGAGAGAACCAGGGAACTGGAGCCATTTGGGCGCAGCATAGACAGCGTTTGATGGCAATTACGTTGGTTGAGAGAGGAGTAAAAGTTAGATGCTGAGCCTCGGGGATTAGGGGACGAAGGTGCCGTTACTGAAATTCCCACTTTGGGACACTCTGACCGGCATACTCTACAGTAGCAGTTGTTGACCTTTTTGAGGGGAGGCACTGCCGTTTTAAAAAGTATCCTGTGAGGGCCGGGTGCGGTGGCTCAGCCGGTAATCCCAGCACTTTGGGAGGCCGAGGTGAGAGAATCGCCTGAACCCGCGTATTCGCGACCAGCCCGGGCAACTTGGTGAGACCTCGTCTCTACAATAAATCACAAAAACTAGCTGGACGTGGTGGCGTGCGTCTGTAGTTCCAGCTACTTGGAAGACTGAGGAGGAAGGATCGCGTAAGTCCAGCAGGTGGAGGCTGCCGTGGCTGTGAGTGTGCAGCTGCACTCCAGCCTGGGTGACAAGAGTGAGACTCCAACTCAAACAAACAAACAAAAATATCCTGTGAGGATAGGAACTGCACACCTAAGTGTCCCATCATCCTGTCAGCAGTGCAATCACAGTCCTCATGGACTGGCTGGAGCAGTGATTATTGGAGAGCAGCTGTCTGTCTCACCTGGAAGCTTTGGCGAACAGTGATTCCCCCTTCTCTATCAGCTATAAACAGCCCCTGCTAAATCTGCCACTATTCCCATTGTACAGATGAAATCAGCCTGGAGAGGGTAAGGAGTTTGGCTTTGTGACTGAGGACGCAGGTGCTGGCGGATGTTGATAACATTTCTGTCCCACATATATTAAGGTAATTCTATGGATCCCCTATAAGGCAAAGGTTGCCAGAACCTCATCTGTCAGGGACTGGACCTTGTATTCCTTTCCTGGTTTCTGCCTTGCCAATTACCACAAATGTAGTGACTTAAAACAACACATTTTGTTATAGTTTGAGAGATCAGAAGTCTGATATGGGTTTCACTGGGTTAAATTCAAGGTGTGGTCAGAGCTTGCTTTTTCCAGTTTCTAGAAGCCACCTGCATTCTTTGACTTGTGGACCCTTCCTCTGTCTTCAAAGCCATCAGTGTCTTATCTCTTGGGCCTGCTTCCATCATTACCTCTCCTCCTCACTCCCTTCTGTCCCATTCTTCTACTCTTAAGGACCCCAGTGATTACACTGGATACATCTGGATAATCTAGGATCATCACCTGGTAAGCAACTTTAATGCACTTGCAACCGTAATTCCCCTTTCCTGAGTAGGTTAACATATCCACAGGTTCTAGGGGTTTGGACCTGGACATCTTTGGAGGACCTGGACATCTTTAGGGGACCATTATTCTGCCTCCCACATACCTGATGGTGTGCGAGACTCCTGCCATCTTCTGACATCGTATGGTCTTGGGTCTTGAGTTTATGCTGAACTGTCTTTACTCTCTGGGTCTCCTTTGTTGTGGTCAATGTCATGACAGCTGGTTAGGATAAGTGGGTGACTGGAGTCCTGTAGCAATGAGACCACCAGATTGCAGAGTTGAGGGGAGGGTGTAGAGTGAGTATAGGAAGGTAACTGTTAAGACTTTTGATCTTTTAAATTCATTTATATTTTTAAAAAATCTGTTTACTCGGTGAACATTTATTGATATTTATCTGAATTTTAAGTTTCAAAATATATATATTAGGGAGTATCTTAAAATAGCTCCCTCTGAAACCTTCCTTTACTCTTAGAACATAAGTTGCTAGAAGTTTAAGGATGAATCCAGAGAAGAGACCAATCCAGGCTGAAACCATCTAGGACACATCCATTCTTGCTCATGGAGTGGCTAATGAAAAATTCAACCTGTGGACTAGAAATGACAGACTTCTCAGATCAAGGGCACATAGCATCATCAGTGCTTCTCAAAGTATCTGAATCAATGGGGCACTGGTTACAAATGAAGACTCTTGGGTTCTTCTCCAGTTCCTCCAAGTCAGAAGTCTAGGGGTGGAGTGGTCCAGAACTGTGGGGGTTTTTTGTTCTTTATTTCCCTCCCTCGCCTCCCAAGGCACGGGATTACGGTACACCGAGCCCAGCTTTTTTTTTTTTTGAGTTGGAGTCTCACTCTGTTGCCCAGGCTGGAGTGCAGTGGCATGATCATGGCCACCGCAGCCTCGACCTATTGGGCTTAAGTGATCCTTCTGTCTCAGTCTTCCAAGTAGCTGGAACTACAGGCATGCATCATCACACCCACCTAATTTTTCTTGATTTATTGTAGAGATGAGGTCTCACCAAGTTGCCCAGGCTAGTCTTGAACCCATGGGTTCAGGCAGTCCTCTCCCCTCAGCCTCCCAAAGTGTGGGGTTATAGGCGTTGAGCCACCATGCCCGGTCAGAACTGTGCATTTTTTTTTTTTTTTGAGTTAGAGTCTCACTCCGTCACCCAGGTTGGAGGGCAATGGCATGTTCCCGGCCACCGCAGCCTCGACCTGCTGGGCTCCTGCGATCCTTCTGCCTCAGCCTTCCAAGTAGCCGGAACTATAGGCCCGTGCCACCATGTCCAGCTAATTTTTGATTTATAGCAGAGACCAGGTCTCACCAAGTTGCCTGGGTGAGTCTCAAACCCTTGGGCTCAAGCAATACTCTCACCTTGGCCTCCCAAAGTGCTGGGATTACAGGCAGAGCCACCGAGCCCGGTCTGCATTTTTAACAAGAGCACCAGGTGATTCTTAGGTATACTGAAGTCAGAGAACCACTGGATATACTCAATTTTCATGTTTCTGAATGTTTAACAGCTTTGTTGAAATAATTTACATACCATGAAATTCAGTGGCTTTTAGTGTGCAAGTCAAAGTTGTGCAACCATCACCAAATCAGTTTTAGAACATTTTCATCACGCCAGTAGCCCCATTTCCACTAGCAATCACTCCTCATTCTCCCTTTCCCCACTCCCACCCTAATACAATCACAAATCTACTTTCTGTCTCTATAGATTTTCCTACTCTGTAGACTCTCTAGGCTTTAAGTCATTTCATTTAAATGGAATCATATAATACGTGGTTTTTGTGTCTGACTTCTTTCACTGAGCATATGTTCTACAAGGTTCATCCATTTGTAGTATAGATTTTTTAATTGCTAGATAATATTCTATTGTATGGGTAAGCCATACTTTATTTATTAGTTCATCCATTAATAGACATTTGGGCTGTTCCTACTTTTTTGGCTATGATGAGTAATGCTGCTATGAATATTCATGTGCAAATTTTTGTGTGGATATATGTTTTCATTTCTCTTGGCTATATATTTAGGAGTGCAATTGCTAGGTTATTTGGTAACTCTGTGTTTAATCTTTTGAGAACTGCTAGACTGTTTTCCAAATGGCTATACCATTTTACATTTCCCTCAGCAATGTATGAGCGTTCCAGTTTCTCCTTGTCATCATCAACACTTGTTATTATCCACTTTTTGTTCTATTATGTCCATCCCAATGGTATAAGGTGCTATTTCATTGTGATTTTAATTTACATTTCCCTGATGACTAGAGATGTTGAGCATCTTCTTGTATATTAGCCATTTGTATATCTTCTTTAGGAAAAGGCCTACACAGAGCCTTTGCCCATGTTTCATTGAGTTGTTTGGTTTTTTATTACTGAGTTGTAAGTGTTTTTTATAAAATCCCGATACAAGTCTCTTATCAGATATATAATTTGCAAACATTTTCTTCCATTCTGTGGGTTGTCTTTTAACTTTCTTAATGGCTGAAACACAAAGGTTTAAACTTTGTCAAAATCCAATTTATCTATTTTATCTTTGGTTGCTTATGCTTTTAGTATCATACTGAAGAAAGTTTTGACTAATCCAAGGTCATGAAGATTTACTCTTTTTTTCTTTTTTTCCCTAGAGATAGGTTCTCACTGTGTTCCCCAAGCTAGAACTCCTGGCCTCAGTCAATCCTCCTGCCTCTGCCTCCTGAGTTGTTGGGATTACAAGCGTTAACTACCTACCACACCTGGCTCAAGTTACTCTTTTTAAAAAAAAAAGTTTTATAACGTTAGCTCTTACAAATAGACTATAATTCATTTAGAGTTAATTTTTGTATATGGTGTGAGCAAGGGATACAATTTCATTCTTTTCTTATTGGCTATCCAGTGGTCCTAGCATTCAGCTTTTGTTGATAAGACTATTTTTTCTTCCACTAAATGATCCTGTCACCCTTGTTGAAAATCAGTTTACCAAATATGTGAGAGTTTATTTCTGGGCTCTCGTTCTATACTTGCTATGTCCATCTTTATGCCAGTACCACACTGTATTGATGACTATAGCTTGTGGTAACTTTTGAAATTGGGAAATGTGATTCCTTTAACTTTTTTTTTCCCCGAGATTGTTTTGGCTATTCTGGGTTCCTTGAGTTTTCATATGTATTTTAGGATCAGCTTGTCAATTTTTCAAAAAAAAAAAGCCAGCTGAGATTTATGTAAGGATTGCATTGAATCTGTAAATAAACTTCAGGAGTATTGCCATCTTAGCAATGTTAAGTCTTCCAATCCATGAACATGAGATGTCTTTCCATCTATTGAGGTC